GTTCCTCTCGAAATGTCATGGTTTCCATATCAGATATTGGCATCACTTTCACCATCTACGTTGGCGTTTAAGGATCTAAGCAAGTTTATAACTACAACATAAGGAATGTCTAGATCGTTTTTTAGGACATGGGATCATTCATTTGTCTCTCACGGATTGACAGCTTTTTCTATGCAGAAATCAACGTAGTCTTTGGTGGGCGGTCTATGTCGGACATAGCATTGGCGAAATCATCAAAGATAGACGTAGACCTCTACCATTTCGTGAAAAATATGACATTGGTATACTTCAGAATCTACTCAAATGGAATAAATTCCACAAAGCGACTTCCTGCATCAGAAACAGATCGGCCACCCGTGTTCAACACTCACTGAATTTAGCAAGACTTAGTTGTTTTGAGAGAATGTATTCCGAAACTGTGGCCAGAGGCAAATGTGAATGTGCCATCTCTGAAACCCTTCGAATACATTAGAGGTCACCTTCAAAGATAAAGCATAAACATCTCCTTTCTACGGTCTGTGATATCCCGAATGTCTATACATGATATTTATATGTCTACACATTTATATTTTGATACTTTTCCGAGGTACCATTGATACAAAGATGTTGGTGCTAAAACAATACATATACGTGTTGAGCTGGTCTTGAACACCATTTCGGTTCTGAGGGTCAGATTGGCGCCAGATGTTAAACAGATATGTTTCGATAGAAAGTCAACACTGAATTCATTTGCTTAAACTGGAATCTTGTTATAGATTCTGAAGTATATAGTAAGCAATGGTGAACGTTTTTTCAATGTGTATAGTAGTGGTCACTTAGAATACAACTGAGAATACATCAATCGTTTTGAGGTGTATAAATGTTATATCTAAAGCCCTTAGGGTATTAACTAAAGCTGGTAGTAATTTATGGTAAGAAGGACATCACGAAAAGGAAAAAAAAGGTAAGAAGAAAACATTTGTGTATCCCTAATAGTGAGTAAAATACTGCTCAACAGCGTGTATTACTCCGAGTTATATTAATTCAAACAAGTCTCTACGTTGCACAGTTCTGTTAAAAAAATGTTTCAGTTTATTCTTAAATGCTACACGTTCCTGCATTGGGCGGATGTACACAGGTATAGTATTCCACAGATATGAGGCTGCTGTCTGAGTTATCCCACTCCAAATAGTTTCGTCCTGAATGTACAATTGGATACTTCTCCGGATAGACTGCAAAACACTTCCACATAAAACTAATCATAAGAACTCACTTCGTACTATTCATCTATTTTTCGTTCATTTATTTGTGAGAACCCACTATTGCCGACGCTGATATTTTTTTATTTTATTTTTATTTTTATTATTGGATATTTATATAGCGCACATATTCACGCACAAGTACATGCTCAAGGCGCTGGTATATATATTTTCTACACAAAAATCGAGACAGGTGCACGTGAAGCACACCTGGAGCAATACGTAATGCGCTAAACATTCTGATGTCTTTCTGACATTTTCTGGCCAGCGGCTTAATGTAAATATTTGGATAGAAACATTCGACTTCACTCGTTTATGTATCATGCAGATCTAATGTTAGAATGAAAACATTCTGATACTCATGTGATACATCGAATATGAAACAAACAATCGTATATTAATCTATATGTATGGACCTCTATGAAACCCTACCCGTTGCACGAACTGAAGAATATGTATTTTCTTAAATCACATTTAGATCCAGATGTACATGTAAGTCGATGTTCCTGCCACAATGCTGTAAGCCTCCAAACCCCCAGCTACAGGTTGAAAACGATGCACAATGGAAGCTACGGAAATGCAGGTTTCTAACCTGGCAACAGTGACAGGGCGTTGTTGAATCCCTTAGTTCTGGGGCCACTGATCTTGCCCAACTCCGAAAGTAACTAATAAATAACAGGTAACGTAGCGGAGAAATACCGACAATAATTAAACACGTCAAGTACAAGATGCTGCGTGTAAGTGATGACATGGCAACAGGCAAGTGCAGCAACATGTCTGTAACCTTACCACACTCGAGAACAGTGACGTGCGGCATTTGCCTGTCTCAAGTCGAAGGTCTTCCTGCTCTTGAGTACAGACAAGAACGCTGACATGCATGTTTCATGTGGATGAGCTCCTCACACTGCAGCAGAGAACATCAACGTGCACGTCTGATGGAAATGAGGATGACAACGAACTGTGTTATACATCAGTTATGTCAACGGTCTTTCCTAATCTTCTCAATGAGTCTCTCGGCTTTACCACTAGACATATATATGACCCCTGAGTACATCTAGATGTTCCGAAACACAAACATTACGACATTCTTCTGGTCTGAATAACCATCTCGGTGAGTGATCTTGGCAATTTGACACGAAAATGGTATGTGGACTGCGCTAGTCGTGATTTTATGGGACGGAACCAACTTAATATGGCTCTACGTTAAAACCGCCTTGGACTAGCATCCAGTCTCTGAAATGAACATATTTTACAGAAAAACTGTTTAAAAGAAATAATCATAAAATATACTGTAAAGGAACAAAGAGACTTTCTTCATTTTCAGAAATGAAACTGTGGAAATCTAGACTTGCCACATATTCTACACTTGCATGGTCTTTCTTGAATACATTTGTTTCAGAGACTGTGTGACAGACAAAAACGGTCCAGAAAATGGGCGGTTGGAAACACAGTCAGAACGGCCTGATAAAAGTACCAGGTTACCAGCGGAAGTGCCAATTTCCCTCATTTAATGTCTAAAATGTTGCATTGGACAAAATGATTAGAATGGCATAAGAACGGGTCATATTCAAATACACTACACACTCTAAGTCAAATTTGAATAAACATTTCATGCGTTACCTTGTCAATAATCAAGCTGTAAAATGTGATGCCTGTTGTATGTGGGAGGAAAGCCCGAAGTACATCTCAGACGTTCTCTTTTGGCGAGCGACCACGATAACCATGATAACCATGCGGACAAACCAAAACACATTATCGGGGTTCAAACCCAGGAACACAGGTTTCTGGCGTGCTCATGGGACAGCGAATTGCGTGACGCTAGGTGACTCAAACCACCAGTGCCCCAAAGAATAAAGAAAATGTCACGAGTTTCATAGTATTATTTCCTCAAAAAATTAAAATATTTTTTCCGGCTTGTTAAATAACAAATTTCAACGAAGTCACTCTGTTTGTATTGCAAATAGTATCTCTGTATTCCCCAAATTTCATTGATGAATTAAAATAGCTCTTGCATACACCCTGCAAGATAAAACCAATGATGCACCACGCTCGGGTACATGAAGATCATCAGGACACACATCTACATTCAGCCGTAAGACAATACTATCTTACTCTAATTAGAATCCCGGAGTCCAGAATGATAGGATGTAGCTATATCGATACAAATCTGTTCCTTCTACTGATGGTGAAGGTGATATATAAACCCAGTGCCCGGCAGACCAGCTCCTCACTGCGTCATCCTTACAAGTGCGGCAGACAATGCTCTTTCAGTTATCTGTTTGTAAATGTCAAAGCCTCGCCTATCTCGGAGAGCTATGTAAGCTGTTCGGGGCTGGTAGTGATATAGAGGCATCCGCGGGTAGAAGGCTAACCTATGTAGTGAAACTTAAGCATACTGTTGGAACTGGTCGTATTTACCATTTGAAAAAATAAAACAGCTAATGTCTCTATTTGTGGATCTTTCAGCTTCTATTATAATAAAACATGAATACCTTCTTAAAGTGCAGAGTTTACCTATATATGGCACATTTGCATTTAATATTAGAGACTAACCAAATATTCGTTTTTGCGGAAAATATTTCCAATACTACTTTTAGATTTGTACAAAGCTTTAACCGGATGTCCTGAAATTATTTAGTTTTCCTCCTTGTACACACGTAATTGGCAGTTGGTGACGTAACAATTAGTCTGCGAAACTTAAAACGTCAAAGGCGGAGAATAACCAGTCTCACTTATCCGACAATGTAGATTCCCTTTGAAGTGAAAATTACATGAATGGTTCAGCAATGAAACCAGGTGTTCGAGAAAGGTTAAACATTTCTTCAAATGCATCTCTTATTAATGACACCAGATGTTCGTGAATAGGTTACACGTGTCCTCAGCAACATCATCATCAAATCAGGTATAACACCAGGTGTTTGGGAAGAGGGTAAGCGTGTCATCACTGCCCATCTGCGGACGAACAGTGGACGAATTTGTAGGTGCAAAACATACTCATTGCTCGTGAACAGTTGCTCTGACGCCCCTAAGAAGAATCATCGGAAGAACTGTTATCGCAAAAAAATTGCACATACTGTAAATACAATCAGTATAATCGGATTACAATGCAACCACACAGCTGGATTTTGGACGGCATTGTGCTTAACAACTATATTATTAAGAAATCAACAGATGATTATAAAAAGTCCAAATATAATTGTTCATTGCCAGAACAGTGACTGTAGTATTTCAGAACGCTACTTAATGAGGTGAGGTGAAAGGTTAGACGCGTTTCTGTCCAGATTACTGAGCTTATACGGCAACTTGGGCGTATGTCCTTTTAGGTCGAGTACCAGCCCTTTCTCATATCGGTTTTGTAGTGCTCGTATATCAGCATGGATGACCCATTGCCTCCGATTAGACAAATCTTTGTCTTATCTCCTAATGCCGACCGCCAGGAACGGTAACAAAAAGTACCATGTTTAATGTCCTTCGTTTTGACGATGCTGGGGATCGACGCACAGGTCTTCTGCTCTCCAGACACATTAGACCATGAAGATGGTGTCGCCATTGAATGAATGTTCCGAAAATTAAATGGGACCATATTTCTGAACAGTTTATTGATTTAATAATCAGGTTAGTTCAGCCTTTTGATATGATACTTATTCAGCTAGGTACAAGGTTCGTGTCTAGGTGAAATATTGCTCATCATTGAGCTAAACATCAACAAAACAAACAAAACATATAGTCCGTCTGTTCCAGGTTTAGTTATGTGGAACTTACCTTGTTGAGAACTCTCCTAATCTCCTCCACAGCGTTTGATGACTTGCGTACAGAGCTGAGGACGTACGTTGAAACTACGGCGTCGAAGGCATTATCCGCAAACTGGCTTAGGTTTTCGACATTACAACATATATAATCTTTCACATGTACTTGAGTATTTTGAGATCTAAGATTATCGTCAACAAATTTAAAGTATTCAGCGTTGATGTCGAGACAAACGACTCTGGTTCCGTCAGGGTAGTACCGGAAGTTTGTCCCCCCTCCGGACCCCACCTCGAGGATGAGTAGGTCCCGGTTTAGGTTCTCCCTCATTTGGTGAAGGCTTGCGAATAACAGAATCTTAGTGTTCCTTAAATTGTCGTCCATTGTCTTCCACAACCTGTTGAGATACCATGGACTTGTCTTGTATTTTTTATACCATACAAGAAATCCTATAAGAAAAAGGATCAATATGAAAATCTTGCCTGCCGCGGAAACCATGTTGTCTGGATCGTTTAATCCAAAGTCAATGTCGGTTCCTTGTGGATATTACCTTTAGCTGCGGGTGACGGGAAATATGAACGAAAAACAACACTCCCACCAGTGAACGAAGGGATCCGTATCTTCGGTTACTCCCTTCAGAAACCCTGGATGTGAGACCTCTGTTGCCAGGTGCGTGTCGATCTCGCTCACCAAGAAGCAGCGAGACTTGCTCCGAGAAAAGCACACACACGTGCACTCTGGGTTCTTCGTCCGAAGGAAAATATATATCCCCAGCTAGCCAACGTTCTGTGGCCTTATCGAAATCGGAGAAATTTGATCGGCACCTTTACCCCGTCACTACTGCTGTTCCGGGCGCGCGTGTACGGGTCTTGTGTTGTGCTGAGAAAGGCCAACTGATTCCTTCCACGTTCGCTTCCCTCCCTTTGATATACCGATATCACTCACAGCTGACGGTGGTTAGCGCTATGATGCGTTAGCGATGTCATGTTTTGTATTAGGTGAGTTGCAGCGAAGAATTGAACAGTGTTCCATGTATCAGATTATAGTGGAGTACGCCACATAATGGAGATGAGGCACTTTATCATTTAGCCCTGCCGAAGTATTTTGGCTGCGTTCCGCCATCCCGTTCCAATTTCCTGAGAGTTGTCGACAACGCCCGTTGTTTGATGATGAGTTAGACGTGGGTACAGTTGGACATTACAGTGGATGGCAAGGAACTCCGTGCATTCAGTCGTAGAGCGTTCATAGTTTGGTTTGGGTGTTGTTTTACGCCGCACTCAGCACTATTCAGCTATATGGTGACGGTCTGTTAATAATCGAGTCTGGACCAGACAACCCAGTGATCAACAGCATGAGCATCGATCTACGCAATTGGGATACGCTGACATGTGTCAACCAGGTCAACGAGCCTGATCACTTCTTATGACAAGCATGGTAGGCTGAAGACCAATTCTAACCCGGAACCTCACGGGTTAGCGTGTATAGAATGGATCACTGTACAAAATGCTTGTACAGCAATGATTGTAGGTAATATTATAATCGGAACTGTGTAGAAGGAGACAAGCTTCTGGCACACATGTTCCATGCATGTATCAATCAAACTGGAATCTGTGGCAAGCTGACATATGTTCCACATGGCCAAAAAAGCCATTCTGTTTCTTCTTGCATTAAACCAAAATCATGAAAGTATATACAAAATTAGGGGTGGGTATTGCAGTGAATTTTCATATTGCGATATATTGCGATGCGAAAGCATATATTGTGATATGTATTGCAATACATTGCAAGATTTGTTTTTAAACAAAAAAACTACTTATACTCGAGTTGAAACAAGGAAAAGAACAATTTAACATCAACACAGAGGTTACTAGTTTGAACTAGTTTCTCCACTCTCAAAAAAGCCCTGAGATTTTAGACAGCAACTTGACCTGGTCAGGCAGAGATCACTGGACATTAGTGAGTAAATATTGAAAACATTCAGATCCAAAACATTGCGAAACACTTGAACAAAAATTTAGAAGACAACTTCAAACCGAACTTAACTTGACTTCCGGTGTGAAAAACGGAAATATCCGAACATTTCCGAGTGTTACGAAGTTTTCCGAATATATGTCGAAATACCGGTTTTCGATCAGCGTATCGCAATACGTATCGATTTCATGTCTGAACCGGTAAATACCGGTAAACCGGTTATATTGCGCAGCCCTATATTAAATGTTATGCAGATTAGTATTCGTGATTGTTTCATTCTTTCCTTTCAATACTACAATCATTAGTTGTATCTTTGCTTTAGCTGGCATCATCACCAGTGTGTTGTTTTACGCCGCACCTTTCTAGCTATATGACGGCGATATGTAATTAATCGAATCTGGACCAGACAACCCGGTGACTGGCATCATGAGTATCGATCTAGTTCGATACGAGCTTCAGTCACCTCTGACTGCTGCATGGATTGCTGAAGATCAAATCTAACCCTGTTCCCAGGTAGATGCAAAAGCAAATGCACTTTATTTAGTTGAAATCCTACAATGGAGATTTATTATGCTGTGTCACTATGCCCAGGTACATGAATACATATGCAGATCCATATGTAGATGTATCATATGTCATTCCTGGCAGAAATTACAGTTTGAAAGCGTGGATGCTGCATCGTATCACTACATTGCTTGGGCAACCCCGTTAAAAAACACTAATATGAGCCTGTATTCTTGGTCATTATGGTAGTAAAATCACAAATGCATATGCTGGTGTGAAAACGCGTTACTTGAATCAAACGGCATGCACAATATACTGCCTTGGACTACTTTTGTATCCCAGAAGTCCCAGTTGGATCGATCATGCGCCCCCCAACAATGTGCAGAGTTGCGCCCCTTATACGTATCCTGGATACCACGATCATTGGTTCGAATTCCAGGTATATAATAGGACCTGCACCACTCTAGGTTTCCTCTGACACGTCGTATTCAAAGTGGCTTTAACCGTTTCACCGTTTCACACACGCATCATAGCTCCGGGTTTCATATGCGTATGACAATCTGCAACGCCATATACTCATGTCTGCCACCAGTTTACTTCACATGCATAAACATGTGCACATGCATAAACATGTGCACATGCACTACATGTTTTTATGTGACAGTTACATTCAGTGTGTAACAATGTTCAACGTGTAATACATTGTTCAGGTGATACTCAGTGAGGGTTAGTTGTGTGTGATATTTAATCCTGTCCTACAAGTTCTAGAATGTTCTAAAGTGACATGGGACACTATATAAAATCTTTTTTTCCGCGGGTATATAAGGGGAGCTACCTCTTGCCTTTCATTTCACATTACGTCCAAAGTTAAAGGAAGAACAGAAATTGTGTGAAGATTACTCTTACCCTGCCTATATTGGAAACTTCACCATTGTTGCAGTGTTCTAAATATTACCATCTCTGTCATTATTAATTTAATCCCTGCTTTCCTTTTATACACCTTTTAATTTGTACTGCCACTTTAATGCCTTTGAAGTGATTTGTATTGATTTGTAAACTTAGTTAATTTTAGAAAACAATTGTTAATTACATTCAATCTCCAGTTAACCTTCAGTTTCAACTTGCGAATTATCACGCAACAATGTGCAAAGATCACAATGTGCTACTAGGCTAACGCTCAGTCTTTGAATATTTCGGGGTGGTGGGGAAACCTAGTCGTTAAATCGTTCGCTCGTCCTGCCGAAGACCCGGGTTCATATTCCACACACGGGTACAATGTGTGAAGCCCATATCTGGTGTCCCCCGCCACGATATAGCTGGAATATTGCTAAAATCGGAGTAACCCCAAACTCACTTCAGAATATTTATAATTTTGACGGAAACAAACAATTTACTTTTTAACTGAAACGGAGCCCCAGTGATAATCGACATTTTGAACCTGAGGAAATTTAGGCTTGCTTCATGCAGATTTAGCATTGCAAAATGGGATTTACAGAAGGGAAAATATTGGGACATTGAGGCAAACTATGTCGTATACCAACTACAGCTCTTACAGTGAATGGTGTCATACCTCAGTCATGGCGTATATATGTTTGCGGCACGAGTCCAACATACCGGAGTTATGTCTCTACCTTTAGAGCCAGCGTTGTTTGTTGACAAGAGGATGCCTGCATCGAACATATGTTACAAATTACTGTTTTTATTTTCTGCCAAGGAAAAATAAATATCGCTCGACGGTTTCACCCATTTGATACATAAAACCAGTAACGATCTGACAAGTCTGAAAGTACTGGCAGTGGCATGCGCAACAGACCGAATAACTTATTCAAACAGGAAAATATCTTTTCAGCATAAGGTTTGTTTGTTAAACATTTTTGGAAATATATGGTCCGAAACACACTAATTGTTATGAATTGAAATTCCTGGCAGTGACAGGTAGATCCTGTTTGGTTCATGTTATATGTCACTGCAAAACAAAATCTTTAATCATGAAATGATAAATGCAGATTTCATTGTACGATTCCGACTATGAGGGTATGACTCTATGGATCATAATCAGACATTGTAGAAGTCAGGATAGTGAAAGGCACCACACATCATAATGGGTCAAATTCAGTTTAAATAGTCCTCTACATGACTACCATAAAATATTTGGAGGCTATAGGATTCGAATGGATTCATCAAAAAGACAATGTCAGGTTTGTTGGCTTGGATATGTCTTAGGCTGTATATGGACCTATTCCGAAGAATTTTGCAATTGACATTTTCAATGACACCCTTTACATATTCTGGCTGGTACCATGGATGGACCTCGGAGTCGAAACCACAAGCATGAACTGACCTAACGACGCCACAATGTCGTTTAAGATGCCGTGTTTGTGCCAACGCTGCCCATCTGCTGACAAGATTCATTACATACTCTACATTTCATATTTACATAGTTACTGACACTGAATCACACATTTGCGGAAACGAGTGGGAAGTGAACCATCCTGAGCAACAATCAGAAAGCCTTCTGTTTCACTTTTCAAACCGGCGGACTTAATCGAAGCGACGGGCCCAGCGAAGCTGCTCTGATCTCCTCTCAACACATAAACTCGGTTGCTTTTGTAATTGTTGTCATTATCATTGACTGCACAGAGATCTGTGACAAGTAGAAGATTCATAAAAGAAATATGTATGCGACATGACACCATATCCATCTTACACCAAACCTGAGAGTGAGTGAGTGAGATGGGTTTTACGCCACTTTTAGCAATATTCAAGCAATATCACGGCGGGGGACACCAGCAATGGGCTTCACACATTATAGGGGACTGGAACCCGGGGTTTCTCCGTGACAAACCAGACCTGAGAAAAAGCGAAAGAATTCTTGAGTAATGTTTTATTCAGATTCTGTGTTACCAAACAAACTTCGTGAATTGAAACCAAGGATCGGTTATACCTACATGACTATCTGCTGAACATGGATGGAGGTGAACATCCTATGTGCATCTCTTGTGATGAAGTGTTTGAATAAGCAAACCAAGGCAGATGCGTTATTTTAAACCTTAAACAAGTGCTTAGTTGAGTTAAGAAGTAGGTAAACTGTTTCAATAATCAATCAATTATCAATGGTAATGACATATATTGCGGTATTTCCACTCTCAACAGATACATGCTGCACCTCACGTAAACCTGTAACAATTTTATGTTCAATCTGCTATGTTATTCATTCGGGCAGTGTCATGTGTAAACTGTGAATGACGTTTATACTTGAGGGATGCCCAGCAAGGTCTGCTTTATAGTGAGCACACTTTGTCGTGAGCACTGCTTGTTCCGCAACGTATGGTTCTGACAACAGTTCTGTCTTATACATGCATGCCTTTCATTTAGAAATGAAACAATATACGAGTCTCCATAACACTCTCCAATGGATATTTGAACATTACAATGTTGAACACAACCTTGACCG